GACTGTCAGTATCAGAAGCTCATTCCTGAGAAACTGTCCTGCAAGCCAAGCAGCTATCACTTTAACATGACTGTAAGTGAAAGCAGGAAAGAGGGGTATTAGATATACTTCGGGTTTCAAGAGAAATACAGGTGGCTTCTTCCAAACAGGAAGGAACAATATTTTAAATGAGAGTAAAATAGGTATCCACATTCACATCTGATCATCTGATTATACACTGATTAGCAATGAATAAAACCAGATATTTTTCTTTGACATAACAATGGATTAATTCAACCAGCTTAATGAGTGGAAGTGAATATGAAACTTTAGGGCTCTGCAAATAAGAACTAGGGGTGGCACAATGCTGTGGACATCAGGAGGGTAATTTATTTAGGTCTGTATTAAGTGGCTTCAAGAGGTCAAGTGCACATTTCTCTCCATTATCTGTCAGTGCAGTCCAGGATGATGAGCTCAGATTTACAGGTCTACCTTTGGGATGTCTAAAGTAAAGTGAGAAGCATCCCATCTCACATATTCACCAATACCCTACTCCAAGGAAAGAGAAAGAATGAACAACCTGACAGCATTATTCACACTCTCAAGCAACTCTTTCTTCCTGTGATACTACCTTTGTTCAATCAAAGCTCAGAGGAAATACACAGTTCCATTTGTCTTCTCTTGTCTATCTCAGTCTATTATCAACACATCCAGCTCATTTAATACAATCAGCATTATTCCAAATTGTTCTGAAATCTCACAAAAAAGCATTCTAAAAAGATCACAGAATCACAGAATCACAGAACTGTAGGGGTTGGAAGAGACCTCCAGAGATCATCGAGTCCAACCCCCCTGCCAAAGCTGGTTCCCTACAGCAGGTCGCACAGGTAGGCATCCAGGCAGCTCTTGAACATCTCCAGAGAAGGAGACTCCACCACCTCCCTGGGCAGCCTGTTCCAGTGCTCCGTCACCTCACTGTAAAGAAGTTCTTGCGCACATTTGTGTGGAACTCCCTATGCTGCAGTTTCCAGCAGTTTCCTTGATAAATAAGGCCGATATTTTTCCTTGATAAATAACGGCCAATAAGGATCATCAATGAGATGGAAAGACAGAGCACTAAGGTTCTGTTCCAGCTCAAGAATTTTGGGCATATATTTCCCTAAGTGATGTTACCGCCAAAGCTACAGCACTTGAGATCCTCAGGGTGCACATATGCACTACAGCTGAGAACAAAATAATGCTTAAAAATTTCAAAAAAACAAACAAGTTTGTGAGAATTCAAACACAGTGGGCAAGCTGTAGCTTTCCTTTATTGTTATTATTCAGTTCAATTCTGCTTGATTGATTTTATGGAACCAAAATACACAAAGAAGAAGGAATATATTTACATAGAAAATGCGCAAAAGTTTAGGAAGTTAAATTTATAGAGCTTAAAATATTCCTTGAAGTTATCAATTCATTTATACTTATTTTTGAGAAATCATTATACTGGACAATAAAAGGATAAACATTTTGGAGCAATAAAATCAAACACTTCTTCTGAAAAAAAAAAAATTAAATATGTGCTCAAAATAAATGATATTTTTCAGCTTTCTTCAAATCTCAATGTTTTCCTAACGAAAAGACATGTATATGTTTCAGAAACAAAATCAGTTTGCATTAATAGTATATAGAAATACCACATTAGGACTTATCATACTAGGACACTGGAAAATTAGAGTTGAATCTTTCTGCTGTGGAGAGGACATTATCAAGTTCAACAGCGCACTAGGCGGTATTCAGAAATCTCTAAGTACAGGGCATTTTAAAGAAATACAGTATTTAATACAGTAAAAAAGCTGCTTGCATTGGAAATTGTTTTAAAAGGGACATGCACAGATTTAAGAAGTTATGTTTTCATTTAGATATTATTTTATCATAGAAAATAATATCTAGGGATTAATATAAAAGTATATGTTTCAGAGCTCTCTCCTCACTCAAAATGTCTATGTTTATAGAGGTAGACAAGAAGATAATATATCTGTACCACCAGGGACTACATCAGAGGACAGAATTAGCCTTAAAAACAGCAGTCTTCTCCAAAGTCAGGTCTAAACTACCAATTACTACCTCTGTGCTTGGTCAATAAGGTTACTCACCTTTTCACATGTTACAGTCAAAGACAATTGTCTGTGTTTAATCTCCCTATCACATAACATTATATGGAGAGGGAGAAACACAGTCTGTGCATCAGACATTAGATTGAATCAGTGCTGCATCCACAAGGCAGGTAACATCCAAAGCATGGCTCTGCTCTGATAAAAAGCAAAGCAACTTTCTGCAGAGTGCCTTGCAGCCAAGAGTAAAAGCTAGGCTGCTCTTAGGCTAATGATGGCCTTCTGAACCTGGACTTTCTGAGAACACTGAGAGCGTCAGTGTCATCTAGATAGTCCTCAGAGCTTGTTTTGGAACACTGCTGAGCATCTGAAACAGCAAGACCACTGCATTGTACTGTAGCGCAGTGTGCAAGTCCCCACCACTTGCCCCCACAAGAACTTCCACACATGCTTTCATATTCCCAGAGGTGCTCAGGTATGTAGGCCTGTCCCAAAACACTCCTAACTCTCTCAGTGCCTCACTAGTCCTGCTCATGATAAGGCAAGGAGTAGGTCTGTCCCTGGTCTTTATTAGTCTCTGAGAGGGGAAATGAGAACAAAAAATACCGAAGTCTTCTTACAAAGCTATACCAGACAGCCAGCTAGCCAGTAAGAGTATTTCAAGCATGACTATAATCAATTGTGGATTTTTTTTTCTTTAGAAAAGTGATAGATGAATGAAGTAAGAAAAGATTAACAGTAAAGCCTACATGCCAAGTTTAGCCAGGTCTATGTAACTTATTGCTACCCTTTGAATACTGCCTATAAATTTACTAGTTGCAAACACGCGCATCTCTACATCTCTATTTCAGCCAATTCTGTCACAGCAAGACTGGCTTGTGAGTTGTATATTCAAAGTAGTATTAGTGACATGAGTCTGTCAAAAAATTTCAAAGAAGCAGGAATCTATATGTGTATCCCTGTTAAAAGTGCATTACCACTTAAGTACAGATACATATGAGTATACAGTGCAAATATTTAGCACAACTGATATTTTTTCCATTGTGCATGATTAGCAAATGCAGTAGATGACCACTGCAGCTCAACATTAAAAACAAAATGTTAAGATTTTAGAACACAAAATCTTGTGAACAAACTCACAGTGCTCTCACAAAACTACTTGTAGAAAAAACACCTTGATCCAGTATTATCATCAACATGCTTTGGAAAGCAGGTTGGGAATGAGCTTCTTGTCTATGTCTGGGTGTTTTTTAGGTAGGAAAATTTGGCCAGATTATGCAGGTTGCAACATTAATCAAGACCTTGTCTTTATGTTTCATGAAGATGACATTCTAGAGCATTGGCTCAGGATGAAGAAAAACCACAACCTACAAGAATCAGCTTCAGAAACAGGCTTTTTTCAGTGCTTAGATTATCAGTAAAGTAAAATCACATCTGAATGCATTCAGTTCATGGAAAAAGAGAAAAGCCACACACTGATTCCGTACAGCCATAAATTACTTCAGCTTTATTAGACAAAAACCAGCTCAGAGGTGCCAAAAAGTCAAAAATTAAAAAATAAAAAACAAATGAAAAAAACTGGAAGAGACTGTTACATTGCTAAGCACACATCAGTTTTTGCAGTAGTTTACGTATTTTGGAACATTCTGTAGTATTCTTCTGGCCAAGGAGTACATGGGTCACAGTCCACTGAAAACTGAAATGGCAACCTACTTCTAATCATGTAGCATTCATGAAGAAGCTAGAAGACAAGAATGAAGAGCAGTGCAAGAACAAAAAGGGTGCTCATCTTCTCCCTGCTATGCCTTCTTCTCTGCTACATTGTCGGACTGTTAAATAAGGGCTAATACTAGTTTATGTGATGTATATGGGCTAGACTGGCTGCAAGAATGGAGTGATAGGGCACACAGCTATTCTTTACTGCAAAGAAGCTGGAACAACACAGCCATAATTTGTGTGACATTGTGCCTGAATCTCAAAAATCTCTGATGACCATTTCTACTGAAATGTACCTCCATCCTGCCAATTCTTTCAAGCTATAAATACATTGGGTAAACATAAAATCCAGTCATATCAGGAATTCTTCTCACACAGACTTTGACATCACAGCGTTTCATTGATGCAATGTTCCCAGGAATCTCTAAAATCTCAAAGTTTGAAAAGTTGCTCTACTTTTCTCTCATTTTTCACTTTGACTACCAATGTACTGAACATTTTGAGTTCAAAACGAGGATGATCCAATTGTCTCAGTTCATAAAGAAAGCATTAACCAGCACTGAGTGCGTTAATTTACATAACTCTAGTCATACTAAAACACAAAAAAGCTGTATAAATTCCAGAAACAATCAACAAAACTCAAACTTTCCATTCCAAGTGAAAAACATAATACAGAAAAATAGTCTCTTTTAACAGATTACAAGAAAAGAAAGATATTGGAAAAATGATATAACGCCATAAGTCAGAGCAAAAAAAAAAAAACCTCCTGGAGCTTGAAGGTGCTTTCCAACACAAATAAAATACAGCAAAAGGGTCACTTATAAGAAGAAAAAAAAGAACAAGGAGAAGGAGGGAGGGAGTTTTAGGGAGAAAAAGAAGAAAAAAAAGAATTCATTCCTTGTACATCTGAGAAAGTGGAAGGTGATTATTTACTTCCAAAGTGTTAAACTGAACTAGGTGCAAAATTGATCAGACCTCTCCAGACTGGAAAATACCCTACAGCAATTATTGATCAAGAGCAGTGAATGTGCTAGAGACCACATTTATGCACTACACACACACACAAAAAAAAACAACAACAACAACAAAAAAAACAAAAGTGCATTTAAGACATATTTAACTTCAAAACACATTCTACTGCTGAGTTAGTGATTGCATGAGTTGTTGCAGGAATGTGTATGAAGATAGATCATCTGCAAGCAAACATACCTGGCTAGATTGAATGCATCATCGATCAAGCCTGCTCGATCGCTGACAGAGATAACCTATGAGGAGCAACCAGAAAAATGGAACCATTTAGGGTGATAAAGTAATGAAAGTTCACATATCAAAGCAGATTTTAGGGTTGAGAAGAAGAGCTTACCTCATGGTTCCTTGTCAGCTGATTAATCAGCAGCCTCCAATTCCTAATATCATAATTAACTCTGAAGTAGCCAGTCTGGTTGATGTTCCCCAGCAACCAACTTGCCTCTTCCAAAGCAGGAATTCTGTGGTGTTCTGGAAAGAGAGAAGAACATGGGAATGGGGCTTAGTTTTATCTTTAAAAATTCTAAAGATGTATTTGTTAAATTCTGTCCTTTTTTAAATACTCATAAGTTAGGAAGACTAACTTACTAAGCTAGTAAGATAAAACTAACAAAATCATTGGGGTTAATCATTTTTTTTTTATCTGTACTCATATAGAGATAGTAGTTGAGGCTCCTACAGAGATACCCTGCCCACAAAAATCTGCAAGGGCTCCTTTTTCTGGCTACTAATATTTATCAAAGACATGCCCATTTAAATCTGGTACCTGATGCTAGCCATGCTACAATACTTTATACAGTTCTAGTCATTCAATGGATTTGCTACATAGAGAGATTAAACCTGTGATTCAAAACAAAAACAAAAAAAACCCTTAACTCTTTCTGCATGTAGTCAATGACACTTTTGTTATTGGATTTTCCAGTTGTGTAGTTTCTAGCTAACTAATCACTGAGAGGCTCTCTTCTAGAACTATACCAATTAACCTTGCATTTATTAACCTGCTCTTCATCTTTTCCCTCTTTTTAAGTAATCACCTAGGGACTGAAAGCATATATCCCAGTACTTTTACAAGCAAGAATGTAGCCAGTCCATCACTATTTGCAGGACTAAGGATGCCCACAACAAAAATACACTGAAATCACATCACGTGCTTCTTTCACTACAGGACGAATCATCATGGGCTGAAGTATCAGACATCTATGTCTCTTGAATAATCTCTCAATTCAGTACATTAATCTGATATAACTGATTATGAAACAACTCGAAAAATTCAGCAACACCTTTTTTCTGCTATAATACAGAATCACACAGAATCACACACAGAATCACAAGGTTGGAAACAACCTGCAAGATCATCTAGTCCAACCACCCTCCCATTCCTATTAGTACCACTAATACCAAGTACTAGTACCAATAAAACTAGTATGCATGCTTCTGACAAAAGGAATGTCTTCTCATGAATTTCAAAAGCAAGCAAAAACAAACAAACAAACAAAACAAAAAACAAAAAGCCAAATTTGTTTCAAATGTAATTCCAAAAGGAAATTGTTTTGAATGCTTCAGTTCTTTGAAAGTAACAAATGAAAAAAGACAAGCTTGCAATATGGTCTTAACAATTCAAATACACTATCTCATACCTAGACCTACTAAAGAAATGAAATTGTTTACAGCCTTTCTTGGAAAAAAAAAAAAAAAAAGTAATTTCTGAGGAAATAATAGATGATTAGAACTACAGATAAAAGTTATGGTTCTCTCTTGGCTAAATAACAGCATCGAAAAGAAACAGCTATGGTATAAAGGTGCAAAAAAATGCAGAAAGCAATGAGATCCAATTCTAAAAACACCAAATAATCTGTTTATCTTTAAATTCATAGAGCAGTTTTTCACATATGAATTCAGAGTAAAGGCTGAGGGATTAAAAATGGAAGTCTTCTTCTCATCTAGGTAGTCCTAACATCATTAATATTTCTTCAAAATACCCTGCTTTGAAATATTATACCTAAAAAACTCAGTTGTTGCCTATTCAATTTAATTTGTTACTGTTCTTTTAGGGTTTGTCTAACTGATTTGCACTAGCTCAGTCTAATTATGCAAATGATTGAGAAAAAAAATAAACATTCTTTTATTTAGTTAAAATATTTACTTTATCCACTTAGTTACCTTAGATAAAGTACCAACATAGTCTTTAAACGCTGAAATAAGACTAGTTGAAAAAAACAAACAGAACTAAGTCATAGAATGGCTTGGGTTGGGTTAAATCTCATCTACTTTCAACCCTTATATCACCTCCCACTAGCCCAGGTTGCTTATAGACCAGCCTTGAAAAAGGCAAGCCCAGCGTTAGGTGGAGAGACATAGCTAGCTAAGACTAGCAGGTACAGGGTAACTAAACTGTAGGAGGATCTGTAAGAACTCATTATCGGGGTATGCCAAGCTCTAGCCTTCCAGGAGTAATAGGGCATCTAAACTGTACATATATAGCTCTCCAGCTCACAATTTACAACCTGTGCCCTGCAGACTCCTGGCTTCCAGCATACCCAGTGTATAAATACTAAGCTGCTACTGCCACAACCTGATTTGGGAGAGGATTTTAACATCAGGTGCCTTCTCTTCCACAGAGGTTTGTTAAACACTGGGCTGCAGCTCAGTTCTAAAAAAAAAACTCTCTTAGACTGTTCAACTGAGGTTGTTCTTCTACTCGAGTACATTGAATACTGAACCTGAAATCATAATCACCAGCTGTTCACATCTAGCCTCCTCACAAAAGACTCAAATCCTGGTTCCTGGTTTGATTGCATAAGATTCAATTATTTTATACAAAGAAAAACACACGTAGACAAATAAAAAATAAAAATACTAACAATTTACACCACAGTGCTAAGAGCACTTCCTTATAGAGGATTTGGCTCATACAACTGCTATAAAACAGAGAGAGAAAAAGGAATTTGAATCTGGATCTACCCCTATCCTATTTATTATACCCAGAATGGTGCTGTGAATAAAGTCTATCACTGTTAAATCTCAGCTATGTCCTGAATCAAACTATTGGATTTCTTAAAAGCAACAGCAAAAATACCCACTTCTTTATCTTGGAGAGGCTGCTGAGGGAAACAAAAACTTTTAGAATATCCCTAGGTCTTCAGGGATGTACTGCCTTGTAGAGTCAAGAGGAAACTGTTTTTACATGGCAGAAATTCATCCTGTGCTAATGTCGTGCTGCTTTCTGTCCATGTTTTTCTATTGCAAACTAGCCTTTAAATGCCACCGTAGCTGGAAAGAGCTACTTGTAACTGGATGATCCCAGCACTTCTCTGACACCTAAAAACCTATCAAAACAGCAATGGGCACACAGTAATCCATTCTGGGTAAAAAGAAAACCAAAAAACAATGAATAGAAATTTTCAAGATCAGATGAAACACATACTTGTGTTTTTTCTCATTTCAGTATGTGCATTGTTGTGCACTCTGTAGTGAGGAAATCACTTTTACTTTAATACAGTACTGAACGATACTTGTCAGTCAAACAAGAAAACTTAAAAAAAAACCTATCTTGTAAATAACAGCTGTGGAACTCCTCCAACACATAGAGCTTTAATGGAGAATGGTATCATTTCAAAGCTTGATGGCATTATTGTTATTTTGGTCAGTTTAAATCCAACCGTTACCACTTGCTATTATTTTTTGATAAGACCACTCAAGTGTTGACCTCCTCCTGAAATACGGAACAGAAATCATTCATGCCTTTCTAGTTCATGTAAGCAGGTGGTTATTTTAAGGGACTGCAGTAAGCATGTGGTTCTTACAGTTCTATATAATTTACTGGAATTTGATGTTTGAATCTGCCAATCCTCATGCCTTCTTATTAAAAAAAAAATCTTTCTTTAGGTTATTACGGCACAGAAAACTTCTATCCACCTGGGCAATTTTTCCATTTATCACAAACACATTTGTTTCCCATTTAAAGTATCACAGTGAGGGAAAAGGTGGTCATTCAGCGTTAAACCCTAAATTAAACCATTCATGACTTCCTAAACAGTGACAAAGATTTCATTTGGGAAGAAATCTATCTTTGATGGCTTTAGTTCACCTTTTAAAATTAAATCTGGAATATATATACAGTATATCAGTTTAAAGGGATTTGGTTTTAATCTTCTTCCTCAAAAAGTGTTTTCCCATTGCCATGTTTTCTGTGGATACCTCAGAAAACAGCACTGCTCTGAAACTTTCAGTTTTGCCTCATATATACATGAAATATTGAGATGGAAAGAGTTAATTTTTACAACATTTCTTTTTGAAGTTAAAAAAAGAAAATCAGTTAGGGTCTGATTCTCATTTTCTCTGCTCTGGAAGTGTGAGGCAATCCTCCAGCTGGTGCTAATTTCAAGTGGCTTGAAGTTCGAGTTCTCACAGCCCTCCAACAACTTCCACTCCACTAAAACAAGCAGGCATGATGGAAGCCTGCTCCTCCAAACAGCAACACGAGGCAGCTCTGGGTGAAGGGCACCCTTCTGCAAGAAATTTCTCCCATGCTGACAAGAGCGTGGGCTAAACACTACCACTTCAAGTGTTTAGACTCACAGTTGTTATTTTCTTTTAACTTTTCATTTTATACAACTCTTAGCACACTGGGAAATTGGCTTGGTGGAATCACTATTGATGGAACAGACTCCATTTTCTCGTAAAAATAACTACAGAAGAATAACACAATTTCATGCCAAGAACAGCAAGTGAAAATTTTCTGAGAAAATGTTCCATAAGGAATTTCTTCACAATAACGTTGTTTTTTTGTTTTTGTTTTTGTTTTCTTTGTGTAAAGATACTGATATTAACTAAAATCTGCAAAACTTTTTGCAGAATTCATACAGAGATTCATAGAGAATTCAACTTTTCATACTCAGAAAAGGCAAACCAGAACAAAATATGCTTTCCATCTCACTTGCCATGTTGCCTTAGTTCCACATTGAAAAAAATAGTATGGTGAACTCTATAGTAACTAGATCATATCAGCAAATACAATCATGTTCTGTTTCACATAGTCTTACTGCAGACTACCCTACCATAATTTAACATTCCTACCTACTGGAACAGCTAACACCTAAGGTGATGTTACACAAGTGTAAGCAGCAGTTTCCTGTTAGGATCTTCCATGTGATAAAGGAATAAAAGTTGGGACAAAGGGATTAATTTTTTCCTCATCTTGTCAAAATTGTGCCAGTACTGTAGGTAAGTTGATACTTGCTGATGGGAAGGTAATTGTCCTGCAGAAAATTCTTTCCTCCATCTCCTGGCAATCCTGCACAGATAATGAGAGGCGTCTGAATGACTAATTTTACCAGAGGCAGAGAGGTCCATCAGAGAACTGCCTCCCTCGGACATTACAAATGAGTCAAGGTACAGGAGGTGAGAATGGAAACTTCAGTCAGCAGCATCGCCCAAGTCTTATTTCCTAGCTGGAACCTGACTGCCAGAAACTCATGCCTAGGAAATAGCAAGTATGCCTTAGTCCACAGCTTGGCTTTCCTAATTGAAATGGATACTAGCTAAGCCTCCTTACTTAAGACATGTCTATGCTTCTCTTGGATATGCAGAAATGTAATGGGTAGAACTGTTCTTGCACACTTAGTACTCTTTCAACAGAATGGCCTGAATCTTCCCTCAAGCCCTGCGATACATTTGTCTTGTGGAGACAAGATGAAAGCTGATTCTTGATTTTTTACCTTCTGTACATCATCACAGAGAATAAGAAAAAGGGCACATACTTAGAGGAAACAGAAACAGGTCCTGGATCTATGACAGAGCACAAGTTCATAACAATTATAATTTCCACTTTAAACTTCAGTGTCAAGGGACTGTTTTATTTCTCTTACAATACTGGATCTTGAACAAGGTCTGATAAATTTGATCTGAGTGTCTGTTTTCAATTACACTCACTTGAAGAGCACTGTGATTGATTCCAATCTTCCAAATGCTCTCTGGAATGCTTTGTTCCACTTGAATGGCTATTCTTTGGCTGCTCTTTGGAATAATACAAAAACACATACGCTCAACGTAACAGAAATTCTACAGGATTATTCCTTCCCAAACAAATCAGTCCTGATAACTGCCCTTTCCAGTCTCACAGTCTCCTCCAGATCCTCACGAAAGAAACATACAAGCTGCAGAAATCTCCAGGAGTGCAACAAAAGAATCTATAGCTTTCCCAGCATATAGTAGCATACACAATGAATCAGATACTGAGCAGATGTAGAGACATACTTACTTATCGTTTTAATGTTGAGAAACCCTTCAAGTGAACTAGACAACAACAAATATAAGCAAGAGAAGTACATCCTTGCTATACTCATCAGCTTACAGTCTCATTTTAATGAGATGTAGCAAGTAAGTGAGAAAGTAATGACTAAGAACATGGATAATAGCAACAGGTCACAATGACATTGACCTGCTACACTGGAAACTGATGACTTAGAAAAGTTCCTCTTTAATTTCTATATAGCAGCCACACCAAAATGATTGCTCACACTGGCCATCACAAATTGTTTATTTCTTGAACACACTCCAATAGGAGTAAGTAGATCTTAAAAGAGTGGGTAGAGGTTTTATTATCTTGTTCCTTCACAGCACTCTGCAAGCAAAAGGCAACTGTGCAGATAATAGTGATATACTGAACTTTCAAGGCAGGAGTGAAGGGAAGGAGGCATCAAGGAGGCACCAGGAGTACGATCTAATGAGATGAGTTGAGAAGATCAACCCTCTCTGAAGTCAATGGGAATCTTTCTATTAACTTCAAGCGAGTTCAGTTAAGTCCTAAAGGACAAGAATGGAGCAGGTCATTGAGGCAGACTGTGAAAGATCAAAGAGGTTTTTCAAGCATTCCAAAGGTGTTCACATAAAGAAATACAGCCAATGCAACACATTTCTGCAAAGCAGGACAGCATCTTATTACACTTTAAGTAGAGTATGTTTCCCAGTTAAGAAAATCGCCCTGGTCCCAGGCACATTTTGAGACCATTACATCAACATGCTACATTCTAATGGGCTGCAAATGATCAGGGCAAAAGAGCACATACTTGATACCACTAGAAAGTTGGTTTATTCAGATTTTTACTAATCTTACACCATTCATCTCTGCTTCTTCTTGTTGCTAAGCACTATGTGACTACTACCTTTTGGTGACTTAGAGAAAAAGGAAAAGCACAGACACACACAGGTTTGACACATTCCTCGTTCCAGTTAAATATCTGTTGGAGGGAAGGCTTTACAGCCTTTTAATTTTACAAGAAGGGGTAAGTTCACCCTTTATAATTCATTGGGGACATATGGCTATTTCTTTTCCCACCCTTACACTCATTTTACTTAAGTCTCCTCATTTGTTTCCTCATCTACTCCAACACCAGTCCAAAACTGTCAGCTGATGTACTATGAACTACTAAGGAAATAAATACGTCATGAAATTTTTACAGTGGGATTCCTTTTTTCAGATGACAAAAAAAAACTCTGATGTCCAGCTGTAGCTGTTCTCAGGACAGTAGCTATTATGATCATGTAAGAATTGAGAAGGGAGAGAATAAGCTGTAAGCTGAATGCAATTTCAAGGTCCCACATCTGGTTATTTAATAAGCATACAAAATATTTTGGCAGATCGATAAGGAAATGTTTTAGCGACAGTAAATATTTCTTAGGCCTGGTTCAGACCATGATTGGAGTTACAAATGACAGAAAGGTAAATGTTTTGCATTTACTATGCCATACTTATCAGATACTTTGCTACAAGAATATTACATTTAACTTTCACAAATCAATAAATTGAATTGCATTCATCAATAATTTGATATGTATTGCTAAATACAAAATATTTAGCACTGAAGTACACAGTACTATATAAAAACTTTTCACTATACTGTCTAATTTCTGTGATAATATAAAACTTGCTTGCTGCTTATCCTTCATTCCTCCTCTCTCCCTTCCCAATACTTCCTTAGTAATTCATTTCAGGTAGCTGAAAGTGGGTGCAGAGCAACTAAACAATTATCTAGGATCAATTCCAAAGAAACAGTTGAGGAAAACACAAGTATGCTTTATGAGATTCCACTGGGAGGAAAGTTTAGCTTTACCTGATTTGTTAGACACCCATATAATTGCCTCTGATGAGATGTGGCTCGTATTTCCTACTGCAATTGTTAATGGAATCTGCCACAAGTAGCTGCAAGACAAAGGAGGGGGAATCTAAGAACAAAAATACTGAACTGATTCTTCTCACAGCAATCAGGGATCATGTCAAAGAAATCAAAACACAATTTCAGTAGCAGTGTAAAGATGTGGATTCTAATAAGTTATTTTGATTTTGAAATGCATTTGCTAATAGCAGTAAAACAATGAAAAAGTCATTCTTTTTTTAAAAAAAAGATATTTTACATTTTTTACACACTATCATTATATGAGACTTTTTTTGCAAGGCTTTCCTAATTTAACAAAAGAATTCACAGAAGAGGAAATAATGATATCCTATAGAATGAAGAAACCTTGTTACATTTGCTTAGAAAGAGAGAACTCCCAGATAAAACATCCTTGGATTTACAGGGACTTCAAAGTTTAAAAATAACATACATATTTAGCAACTTCTTAAATAGCTATGATGGGCTTTTATAGCTGCTGGTTTACAAAAAAAATGAACAAAATCAATTCTCTGCTTCTGTGCACTGTTTGTTATCACTGATGTGTTTACAACCTGGACAAAACATGCTAAATGTGGATTTGGAGATAAGCTGGTATAATCACAACCACAACTTCCATCCAGGGTATCAAATTTTTTCTCATTTGGAATAAATGTTATAATTTACCTAAGTTTTTTGTAACATATTTATCTCAACAAACAGAAATTGACTGTATGAAGCCAATCTTTTAAGGCAGATGGAAAAGAGGAACCCTTGCGTGTCTTCATCATTATCTCTACTTCCAAACTACTGTGAAAGAACAAACACCTCCCTTACAGGGCTGCTTTGTCATTTGGTGTACTGAAGGAAGACATTCAGTAATGGTTTGTGTGATCCCTGTATGCAGGGAGTACATCTCCATTAGCAAGGCAGCACAGCAAGAAAATTGCTCCAACTCAGATATCACTGTAGATTACTGCTTAGATACCAAGTAAGTACATTACTTTAGACTGACAATTAAAATGGTGCAAAGATGAATGGGGGCAAGTTCTTGATGTCTACATCAGCTTCCCTCTTGCCATTACTGCAGATGGCATACAGTACCTAAAAAATTAAGTTTGCCCACATCTGTTCCACTGAACTGTAAGCGCTGCCCAGCTGTGCCATAACTGGAGTCAGAGTGTGCTGGTCTGCAAGGATTGTGCCTGAAAGAACACCTGTCATTCAGTACAGGAAATCACATGCAACACTGAACTTCTTCTGTGCAGATTCAAAGATAAACAGTAGGCTTCTACAGCAATTGCTATTCTCTCCCAGATTTCATCAATACCACAATGATTGTTCACTTTTGTTATTTCGAAGGCCATATCCAGCATGAACTTCCATAAATGGGTAACTGCACATTTCATGTGCACACTGTAAGAGCAGCCTTGCTCTCGGAGCTTTGGCTCCCAGATCTTGGGGTCATGTCCCAGCCTGACATCATCTCCAAGGACCTGCCCAGTGATCTGGACTCCAGGCTGTCTTGCTGCCACTCCATGCCTGTCTTGCTGTCTTGCTGGGGTCTTGGCTCCCAGTGCGTTCACAAAGAGCTACCCCTCACTGTGCCCTGATTCTTGACTCCTCAAGCACAGAGTTTTGCAGCATGCAAAAAACTGGACTGTACATGTTGAGAAGCAGTTTTAAGTACAGCAGTGATTCAGCAGAGAGGGGGAGATATTTGGAAAACTGCACAGCTGAAAGAGATATGAGTGACAACGGAAAGAAAACATGGCATTTATTGCCATATGGGAGAAGAAAAAATCTCAAGTGATTCTGGGTTATATGAATATAAGTATCATGACACACTGGGAAAACTAATAGATTGATTGATGCACCAAATAAATGCTTTATATGAGCACATGCTCTGGCAGATACTTTCTGGATAATTAAGCTATGGCATCTGAAGATGCTACTGCCCATCCGTCTCTTCTGCTGGAGATTACCAACCCTTATAGCACAGCCAGCAGAAAAGAATGTCCACTTCTGCATTCTCTTCTCCAATTCTTGGTCTAAAGTCTTTACACAAAATTAGCTTCATTGTTAACCTAACAACTATTTTGGACTCAGAACTGGGCTAATTAGGCAAAAAAATGTACTCTGTTCTGATGCTTCTGTTATAGCAGTAATAAGTTCTAGGTTCAATAAGTGAAGGCAGTCAGAAGATGTTGTAAAATGATGCACTGGAGAATATGCACTTCTCTTAAGCAGCTTATACCTTACTAGACACCTATAGTATATTAAGACTCCATCTTTCCTAGAAGTATTTTAGGAAATATATCATATTTAAAAGCACACAACAGTTAGGTCTCCAGAATGAAAAAGACACTAGCAGACTATGATCAAGAAAAATGAGGCAAAAATGAGCACAAAGCCAATAACTCATGTGAAAGGAAAGAACTTCGGTATATAAGAAATTTGAAAGAACTGCATTTGCACGGTATTTTTATGACTCTTGAGATAAAGACCTACTGAAAAATTGTATATTACCAAATAAAAGATACTGAGAATTGCCTACATTGCTGATTTAAACACATATAAACATATACAGATACATGCATACGAGTATATACACAGACACTCATAATTTTGAGAAAGAACATCATAAACAGATATTTTCTGTACACTGCAATAAATATACAGAGAACTTTAGACTACTTTAGATTACTGTGTTACCTCTAATTAATGATACTCCCACAGCAATCTCTGAAAGGAGATTTTGCTATGGAACTGGAGTCATACAGGACACATCTTCTCAGAAAATGCGTGGGTTTAGTTGGCAAGATCAGGATTGGTAGATTTAACTTTTATATGCACCTCATCAAGATTTGGGTCTCCTAATATTCTTGACACTCCCCAGAACATCCAGATCTCATCTTCTTGGTTACTGATTTACCAGGGAACCACAGATTTCCTTCCAAGGGATCTCTCCAGAAGCCCATTTTTTCCTCCTGTAGTGCTGCTGTTCTCTACATGTTTACCCGCTTTTTCCTTCCACTCTCAGAGAAACTTCTACTACTGCTGCAAAACAACACTTACAAACTATTTTATTTATATGTCACAGAGACGTATCTGGCTCACCTGTCAAGTATTTTTATTAGCATAATTTCTATATGCCATCTCTGAATGATCTGTGTGGACTATGTTCTCCAAGTGTGACTTGGAAAAAGAAAACTTTTTTTGCAGATTTACATTGGTATTCTTCTAATTTAAAGAGGGAAGAGGTCCATTCACCTCTTCTCTTGTTTTGACTGTGAGTAGTAAACATCTTTTGATTACTCTGTTACATTCCAAGAGCAACGCCGTTGTCCTCTATGTATGTAGAAAGGCTGGTCTGAAAGCAATGCCTCCTATTTTATTACATTGGCCGAGAGGCAGATCTTAGTGGTATGGCAGCAGAGGGGCAGACTGACCGAATGGAGTCTGACATGGAAGTGTATATAAAGCAAAGGTGAGGAACTGAATTCCTCCATCAGGAAAAAAACTGCATTTGCTGACTTTCATTGATACTTCACAACACTTATGTAGGCCAAACATGGGATGCGAGGACAGTGAGGTGTGGGTGGTGTGTTTCAGCAGTGGCAACAGCAATGTGAAAGACAAGCCATGTTCTGGACAGCTATGCATATTTTTATGAGTGCAGCATGCATATCACTGTTGGTGAAAATGCATTGCTAATGGTGGTGGTTATGTTTAAAAATAGTACTTTGTAGCTGAGAATGTGCTCTATCAAATAGTTTTATTTTGCTCTTTGTATCTGTCATAGTTTTCAAGGAAATAAATAGGAGGCATTACTTTCAGAGTAAGTGACAAGGGGAAAAAATGATCAGTGTTCTTCATTTTGCTGTCTGCTGCCTGCTCTGACAAACCAATTCCAGTGAAAATAAGAATCCCGTCTTGAAGTAGTGGGATTGGAAAAATCCATGAAGTCTTCCTATCCTCAAAAGTACATCTGCAAGCACTGGATGTCTGTCAAAATAGCACACAGTGCCTGGGTGAAATGAAGTTAAGAAATGATGCATCCAAACTGCCTGAGACGCTGCAGGGCTTCAGAGACATCTGTATATAATGTCCCTCAGGATAAAAACTGGATTGCCTGAACAGGGAACTCAGTGCAGATTTCCCAAATTTTGAGGAGTTATGGGTTATTTCAGAAAATTAAGGAATTATTTCTAAGGGTGAAGGAGGCATTTAAAATTTGAATAGATACTTTATATGAACTGTGTTGTACATAATGCTGTTCAGTCATATAGGAAGAGATGGAGGAGAGGGGAATGCTGTTAAAAGGTAGTATAAAAATGGACACAGGATAACATTCACAATTAAAGAGAAAGCGTTGGTACCTTTTGTATTTTTGGTAGCATCATATCAATACATCTAAGTGTGTTAGTATTTTGTTAGTATTTTCATTTAGTTTACACAATAATTCTGGGCAACTTGCTTCATTTAGCAATAAAAACTTGCAGATGCCAAGATGCACATAATACCAGAGGGTAAATAATTATGCACTGCTTGGATTACACAGATTTTTTTTCTTTAGCCTTACATTGTGTCTAGATAGCCTGTATTGAGGTATTCTGTCTTCTTCAAAAAATGATCATATCTGTGACAAGTTCCTGCTTATGCCTTGACTTCCAACTGATAAGAACTGGGATCCCTTTGTGGGTAAATCTTGAGACCATGACAAGCATGTTTCAGACTCCTGCCTGCGATAACTGGCAAATTTTGATTTTCAGTGGAACATTTAGTTGGCTTATTTGTAAAGAGCTATGCAAAGCTTAAAAAGGGCAGTAGTTCACTTCATCAGCTGACAAAACAAAGATCTTAGGTCATTAAAGAAGAAAACAAAAAGTTCCTGGAGTTTCAGATTTTACACATCTCTTCAACTACTTTTCCACATTAACAAACAATTTTTCTGAGATGCAAGCACATATGCTTTCAAGAGACATCTTCCCAGTAGAACATCTCCACCCACTGCCTGTAATGAACGCTGCATTTTTCTGATGACATT